ATGACGAAATTTGGTATCAGCTGGAATGGTCCGCCGATGCAATGCAAGAGCTCAAATTTGTCAACGACTTTGTTCCCTCCTCACATTGCAGTCAAAAGGAGAGCTGCTACATCCTCGCAACCGTCAATAATAGCTACTTTGCCTCTGGAAGTAGCAATAGTTTTTAGAAAACCATACAAGAGATAAAAAATTTGAAATAAGGAATGAACGTACGTTCATTTAATAACTGTGGCTCAGCAGCATCATTAATCAAAAAAGCTGACGAGAGGGAGAAGTATGCAGCAGCAGCAGCAGCAGCAGCAGCAGGTGGGAGCACTGCCCAATGGTACTTCACCTTCTTCCAGTGACCAGATTGGGCTCATTTTAGTGTCCTGTGATTGGATAAGTTACGGCCCCAAAATGTTAAAATGAATTATGGTGGATATAAACAAAGAGTGTTTAACTTATACATGTGGCCCAAATAATAAGAGTTAAGGATACCGACCATTTCATTATCGGTCAAGTTTATTTTCAACCTCAACCTCCCACAATGCGACTATGAGGCTTCTGATGTATGAGCACTTGTATGACTGCCGATTACGCTGGTTTTCATCATGCTCATGTTCCCGTTATCCGGCGTCAAGGACAGGTCAGAGTCTGATTGCCCTTTTTTCGCCTTAACTATATGTATTTGGCCTAAGTGAATGCCTTTTTCTACCTAGTAGAAAGTCGTGAGATGATAGGCATCAGTTAAGATTTGGATCCGAGGTGCAGCAAAAAATTAAACGGATGTTACATTTTAAGCTAATCAGATCAAATATATATATATAAAGAACAGTAGATCAAGCATATAAAGGTAGGGAATAAGGAAGAACAGCGAAGACAGTAAAATAGCAGTCAGGACATCTGATGCAGTCCACATTAGCCTGGCTGCGGTCGGTCGGAACTGAGCGCTATGTGGACCTATAGACTTTGCATTCTGGCACATTTCTGACACTGGGATCATCCAATTTCATCAGTGGGTATGCCTTTTTGCACTCGATGTCCTTGGCACACTGGTTACGGAGGCAAAAGTAACCCTCTGGACATTTGCTGCAGCTGCGACCATACTCATAAGGCTTCTGTCCACGTAGGTTGCCGCTGCAAGGAGAAGCATTCACTGTCATCTGTGTGCATGGCAAAGGCGGTCTCCCAATGACTAACTTGGTATCCAGTCAAGTGTCACTTACTCAGGCTTGTATTGACAGACACTGAGGTATTGTGGATTTCCCCAGTCGGATCGCAGACCATCACATCGCCGCATGGCACAGCCCAACTGATCTGAGGTCGCCCAAATCATCTGTTTGTGGATAGGGTGAAGCAGAACACAAGACACTAAGGCATAACTCAACACGATAAATCATACGATTCTGCCTGTTTGAGTGGCATAGACACACTGCTCTTCTCACCTGAGTATAGTGGCCGCAACGACCGGTGCAGGAGTGATCATGATAATGGTAGAATAGAGTGCAATCTGCAGATGTGATGCCATTCACCTGAAGGCAGTTTCAAGTCAGTTTTCCTTCCGCATC